CCACACTTTATAAAAACAGAAGACAACCCAGAGTGGAAGGTGCCGGCAGTCAGTTAGGGGGACCCAAATGCACGGGAACATGGGGTCCCACCACTTAGAAAAGCAACTCTTTAGCCCAACACTTTTCTTTCTTTCAAATGAGATGGCCGAGATTAACATCACTCTCCGGAACACACTAAACACACTGACTGCACACAGCACACTCTCCAAAGTCAAATTCTTCAGCCACACTCCCATTTTCTACTTGAGTAGCATTGAATTCTTTGAAAGAAGGCCTACAAATGTGTACATTTTCTTGTGATGCTTTTCATAAAAGGAATTGAGAAGTCCATTTAACGAGTTGTAAGGGCTCATGTGCATGCATGAGTATATGCATCCCTCCAGGTACAGATACCAAAACCACAGGAGGCTCAAGTCCTTTACGTAAAATGGCACAGTATTTGCATGCTTTCAAGTCATCCCCAGGTTCCTTAAAACACTGACTACAATGTAAATGCTATACAGATCATTGTTATATTATTTAGGGAATAATAAAAAATGAGTATACATATTCAGTACACAAGCAATTTTTAAAAATACATTTTTGATCCAAGGTTGGCTAAATCTGTGGTTGCAGGAACAACCGATAGGAGGCTGGTCATAAGATGTATTTCTTATCCTGGGTTACTGATAACCAGAAAAACGCAGTAAGCTCCACAAGGTGGGCTCTGTCCTCATGTAAGTGATTTACAAATGGGTGAAACTGGAAGTCAGTTTTGTAAGACTCAGGTGCAATACTCCCAAAGACACTTTACATTGTATGAATTCCCTCCCTTGGCTCCTTCCAGTCTGAGGTACCCAATGTCTCATCCTCACCTGTGGACCTCCCTTCTCTTTTCACTGTGAGGAAAAAGCTTGTGGAAGAAACAGCTGTGCAAGCCTGTACCGTGCACCATGACTGAGTATGCCTCTGGGAACCCAGGATAAGAGATACATTGTAGAGCCTGTCTTCCCCGTCTGCAGGCTCGGCGTGCATAGATTTAGCTATCCAGCACCCTGCCGTGAGCCCTACTGCTTGTGTTCTTAAGGATTTCATGGGTACAATTGTGTCCGTCCCTCTCCTACATCAACCCTCTCTCTTCAAACTTAAATCCACATGCAAGATGGTTCATCAGGGAAAGGCACTAGCTAAGCAGTACAGGTCTGATGACTTGATTTTAATCCCTAGATCCCACACACAGGTGGAAGGAGAGACCAGTTCCACAGAGTTTTCTTCTGACTTCCATACTGGCCTTGGCATGCAGGTCTCTCCCCTCACATCACACATATACCACACAATATTAATAAATGTGTCACTTTAAAAGACATGCAAATAGGAGGGGGACTGGTGGGGAAGAGGAGGTTCAGTGGAGAAACAACTGGTTAATAGTGGACAATGGGGCATATGATCAAAGTCCATTATATAAATTATGAAAGGAATACTTTTTTTTAAGTTCATAGAATATAAGAATTTAAACCAAAGCAGCCCACACCCCAAGGGTGACCTTGAAACTTCATGATCAGCATGACATGGTGAGCATGAACATGATTTCAAAGGGATTAATTGTGACATACTTCATCAGAGAGGCAAATTCGCAGACTCTGAATTTCAATTCACTTCTGCAAGGAAAACCTGGTGACTGAAGTAGAGGCCCGTGGCTATTTATCCTAAGACTGCTTGTCCGTGCAGTTTTACAAAGCACGAAATGCTATTTCAAACTTCTCTACTTATGTATTCTGACAATATTAGGAAATCGAAACAGCCTGGGAAATGAAAAAGGCCATGAGATGTAAGAACTATATCCAACCCAGATGACTATTTTCAGCTTTGAAAACCGAAATCCGATCAAGTCAAGCACTGGGGGAGGGGATAAAAGGGGAAGAGAACAAATAACAAAACTGAATCTTCAACCCTGGTTTTTCCTACACGACAACCAGGGGCATCTGACACGCACCATGTGCACTTTGTTTTTATTCTGTTGTATCTTTCTCAACCAACAAGAGTGGTTTTTCTGTCATCCTCTGCCGCTGTGAGTCTACCACAAGAATTTTTGTTATTGTGGGAAACACCACACACTCAATTTAATTTAATTATCAGCTGAAATAAATCAAGCTGTATTAATTTCTATGACCCGATGCATTTTTAATTATGCTTAAGTTAATTTGCCTTTGATATCTCAAAGAAGAGGAGTCTTCTGCAGATAGTTAAAATACCATTAAACTAAAGTAATCAGAATTAACATCTGCTACAGTCAATATGGTCCATAGAGACAGAGTACCCACCGTCAAACAGACTGCTCTCAAGAGAGTTGCAAAGATTTTCAAATTTGGAATAACATCTAAAGTCATTTGTTCTAACACTATTACAAGACCCACAAACGTCTGCATAACTCAAGTTTAGTGAGTTTCAGATGAACCCCTAAGTTACAGCTGGCTATCCAAAAGAAATGACAGTATTAAATACATTTTAATTGCTGCTACCTCCACAGGACTCTTTTCTCTTTAATATGGCCATGTTGGACATCCTACCAAAGTGAGTCATGGTCTCCTGGAAGGTGATTAGAGAAAGTAGGATTCATACCTAGAATAAGGGAACCTGTATTAAAGAATATAGATACAATGTGTTGTAGAGAACCTGCAGATTGTCAAGTTTCTAAATGAATTAGAGAACCTAGAAGACTAAGGATAAAACCTTCAGTAAAAGATGTGGGTTAAGATGAAGAGGAAACAAGTGATGCTGTTGGACTATACTGAAAGAAGTGGCTGCTGAGGTACAGGGAACATGAAGCTGAGGAGAAAGTGTGCCTGGCAAGAAGGTTATGAAGGATACAGCAGGTCATCATTGTCCAAAAAGATGGACTCATGCTTAAAATAGTACCCAGAACTGTAAAATATTATAGAATTTAATCTTTAAAGAAAAACCTCAATTTCTTGAGTTTGCCCTATGGTAGAATAGCTACCTAGACTTTGTAAGTAAACAAATTGTATGTATAAATAAAACTATTTGACTGACTTATCATGGATAAAAGTAGAGACATGCAACACCATCTACAAAGATACCCTAGTTGCAAAGCCTGTCTAATTTTTGTAATTAGAACACACTACCACATGTCATGAAAGTATAAGCCAATCATAAGAAAAAATGAACACTGGGGGACTCAAAAAGTCCCACAAAGCAAAATACCACCTGGGGAAAGAGCAGGAAGATGTCTTGTTGATTTTTTTCCCCATGTCTACCTCACTCACAAGGTTATTAACCCCACTTGGATGCAGAGACTTATTTGGCCAGCTAACTAAAAACTGTTCTGTTTCCTCTAACAATGTGTCAATCATTACACCTATGGTAATATGAGGATGCTTCCTAAAGACTGTTAGGATGATCTCACTTAGGGAAAGAGGACATAAGAAGAAGAGTGTGTAATATAAAGGTGATATTTCAAACAAGACATAGGTGACAGTCATAGGACATGACTTATGGATATTAATATCAACCTTGTTGTACACAGGGTCTTGGCCACTATGTTTAAAATCAACCACAACTTTATATTCATCAGTGAGAAGCACAGAAAGTTTTAACTTCAGGAACCATTAGCACTTATCTAATGTTATTATATTCCCCATATGTAAACAACAAAGAAGTAAGCCTGTTGCTGAGGGCTAGGTATGCAGTAGTTAGGGAGAATAACTGTAGAGAGAGGGAATACTATTATGTAGACCACAAGAAAAAAAAATCACCTTGATATATCAGCCTTATGAGTTTAGTTGGGTGATCCACCCATGACAGAAGAACAAAATAGCCCAAAGTTCATAGACCATAGGACCAAGTGAGACTTTAGTTGAAGAAAGTAAATGACATCCTGACAGTTCCAGACCAAGATGCTGGCCCTCAGAAGTTTTACGCTCACATTAGATTAGGATTGGTAATATACTCCGTGAGACTATACTAAGCCTATGCAGGAAACACCTTCCTCCGACTTCTCAAATACTAAAAAGATAGACCATCCAGTTCAAGACTGGTTTAAGGGTGGCAGGAGGGAATGGACTCCTTGAAAAGATCTGTCAGAGGCAACAGGAATAAAAACACACATCCTACAGATAGACGGGCTGTGTAAGGAAAAAAGGCTATGAATGTAGTGGGTAGCGGTTCCAGCTTTGATCTGGAAGTTCCACCCCCATTGAGGCTTCGGTAACTGGCACGCCTACAAGGCGGAGCCGAGAGGACTCCTAAAGACCCGAGATCCGAATGCCCTGGCTCTCTTGGTTCCTGGACCCTGGACACTGGAGGTAGACTGCGAGCAGAGTTCTCCAGAGAACATCGCCAGACTGTGCTACACCTTTCCCAGACCCTGTAACCTACCCCTTCACTTGTAAGTTACCCCACAAAATAAACCTCCCTTTTAACTTCGTGGAGTTGCCTTAATATTTTAACCAATACTATGAAAATTGCTCCAAGGCTAAAGTTAGAACATATCAGCCCAGCACTTTGTAAATGCTATTAGAATAACACCCATCCAAATTCTTAGATATCACCATGACTACAGAAGTAGTACCAAAAGGATGGACAGTGGATACTTTATCATGAGGACCAATAACAACGTCTCCACTGGTTGCTGTTTTAAAATGATCTTCAAGAGTGAAATACGTGGTAAAACTCTATTTTAAGAGTTACTTTCTTCTGTGTTACCATAATGAAACCATCTTACTTTTGTTATACCTTTCTGGACATAGCCCAAAATTAAAAATACAAAATAACCAACATAATGAAAAGTCCATTTCCTGCTAGTCTGTATTTTTCATTTTTTTTTTTTTACCCCTGGCGGTGGCTGGGAGATTTGAGATTTCATGTGGCAATTCCTGTTTTACACCTTTTGTGGTCCCCTTGTGGTTCTGCTGACAGTGCTTTAATCTTGCACGAAAGCTCCTGTGAAGATGATCTACATGAAAACCACAGCCACTCCCGGAATAAACAGAAGGATACGTACCTCGTTCAAACTTTAACCGCTGATACAGCTGGTACTCGGACACAGGCACCAAACAGGCGATCTGAAATCAGAGACATGGCAGAGAGATGAGATTTTGGTCAGCGGAGGGAGGGTCCCGCATCACCAGCCCTTTCGGGCGCCGTTCTCTAACGTTGCCTCTACACCCTCTCTCCCAGCTGTCTGGAAACCATCGTCTCGACTTGGTCGTGCAGTAGTAGCACATGCAGCAATCTGCAAACCATCCCACTCCTCTTACCACGGCTAGGCACCAGTGCGCAGGCCTTCAGTAACAAAGCTCACTGATTGCCTCCATTCCTTGGGCAGCAGCTACTAACCAAGTTTTGCTATTTGTGGCTCTCACATTGTTTGGATGCAGGTATGGAAGAATCTCTTTCTTTCTCTACATTCAATGAAACAGAAACTTTCCAAAGACCATAGCTCTAGCTTTGGATCTTTAAAACTAAGGTTAAGTAAGTAGACAGAGCCTCAGCAATTGCGCAGACTTTGTACATAGAAGTGGTATGCTCCTAATGAGACAAAACTTCACTTATACCACCCTGGCACATTGTACAACAGCAACAAGGGAACATCTCATGACATTACTTGTGACTAGAATCCCATGTCCGCTTTGAACAGCAGAATGAACCCAGGGCTTCCCAATAAACAACAATGATTCATACTAACAGAGACACTTCACATTAAACATCTTAAAATTATATTTCAAAGTCAGAGGGAAGAAAATCTAACCGCTCTTATAAACTGGAATTCTAAAAATATTAGTTACATTGATGGCAATATATAACTACACCAGTGTTGCCAAATTACAAATGAGAAATAGAAGGATTTGAGATCAGCCTCCCAGACATTCAACAAGTTAATATGGGCCCCTACTCTTAGCCTTGGTAATTCTAGCATTAAACTATTAAGCTACTATATGCATGCATTATTATATACATTATGCATATATGAACTACAGATATGATTTTGTTATAAAATATACTTAAATAAAAACATTGTTGCAATTCACAAAGCAAAGCCTGCTTTGGGAAAACTACAGTAAGATGATGATATAAACAGAATTGCATTTAATAAATATATTTTAAAAGTTCACTCAAAATATATATAATTATGTACCTCAAAAGTAGTCTCAATCTGTTTATTTCACAATCAGACCAAGTTAACAAAAATGACTTAAAGACCACGAAATAAACAAGTTCAGTCTTCTGCATACCTAACTCAAAGTCAATCCATTGTGAAAAATTTCCCTTCAAACTTTCTTTTACCAAATTTGGAAAAAAAAAAAAAAAAAAGTGTTTTCATCTGGTACCTTAAAGAAAAGTTCCTTAGCAAACCTTGTGAGAAAAATAGGGCCAATTTCATGATATATACATTTTGCTATAGTTCTGTTAAAAGTATGATTGGACCTTAGCAATATGAAAAGCTAGACTGTTCATTTGTTATAATATCACCAAAAAAAAAAAAACCTCCCCTGAAAGTCCAAGGCATCATGAATAAATCCAGAGCTGAAGGAAGAAGTCCAGGAAACAGGCATGAGAAAATAAAGCACATCGCTTGACTTTGTCACTGATCACTACATGGAGAGGACAAATGGCCTGGGGTAGGCATCATCTGGGCCCAAAGTGGTATTCTGTGACCCTATTTTTAGCTTCCTCTTCTTGAGTGCTACTGAGATCACTGATTCTACGCCAAAGTCATGAGGCCTCCTCAGCCTCAACTAAAATGGTTTATGTACTGATGCAGACCTTCTTTAAATCCATCAAAGGAAGCACCTAATAGTGCTGCTTTTCTAGTAATGAACAAGCCATATAATAGCTAAGCCACATAATATTTATGGGAGACAAGCAAATAGGAGAGAAAGTGTTTTAGAAACTGATCACATGGTAATGAGGAAAATGACAGAGTGACGGAGTAAAACCTACTAACAATGGGGTTGGACGTTTATTTTAAATTAGAAAGGCAGATTTCATCAGACCAACCCTTTATGGCCAACAGGAAAGGCATAAATCTCGAACACTTTGTGTGTTGACCTAGTTTGAGTTTCCCATTTATTATTTCATAAAGTCAAATATTTATTTAGAATTAGGCTTTAACAAAGTAAGTCAACTCTTCCACTAAAGTTTGCAGTCACAAAGAGTTATCAGTACTTACTCTGATCCTTTCAGAACACAGATAAAGCCCAGAGCATACTCATCTTTCTACCAGCTCTGCCCTTCAGGCTTGTCTCTTCTCAAAATGCCTGCTGACAGCCAACCACAGGCAAAGCACTGGTCAGGACTGCTGGGCTACCTACAAGATGTGCTCAGAGAATGAGATCACTCAGGAGACAAGATACACATCTAAGAGTCAAAGGGAATCGACTCCCTGATTTTGTCACCTCTTCTATTTTGTGGATTAAAACTAATGTCCTCAAGTGTTTTGTTACAGTGTGGCTTTTAAATGAGAGAGAGCTAGACCTCGTTTAAAAAAAATGTGCGAATATAACTCTTGGTTTCACTGTCATTTTGGAGCTAAGTTATAATTGTTTCAGGCTTCCATTGGTACAATTATAAAATTTAAATGATTCTGTTAGGATGAGTTCTGGAAGGTTCCACAGGCTACCGGTGAAAGGGCTACAACAGGTGCTTGAGGATGTTGACAAGTGCTTGAAGAGTGTCAGGCAGCTAGACGGCAATCCCACGAGAAAACAAACGAGACTACAGACAGCCATTTTACATCTACCTTTATCCTTCGTGTTTCCCAACAGAGATACTCACAACTGTCCAAAATCACACCGTAATGCTCTTCTAAAACTTTTTATCCCCCAATAATTTCAGACTTATAACATCACAAAGGTTGAATAAAGACTTCCCAAGTGCTATGCTCTCAACTTCTCCTAAAGAGAACCTTACATAAAAACAATCATTAATTATTAAAAGAATACAACTTAAATTGGTATAATACAACTAAATGATTGCCAGGACTTATTAAAATTTCACACATTCTCCCACTAATGTCCTTTTCCAGTCTGGTACCCAATCCAATCTACAGTCCTGCATCTAGCTGCAGGGTCTCCTGGGCCTTCTGTGGCAGTTTTCAGTTTATCTTTCCCCTCTCCCTCTCCCCATGTTTGAAATATACAGGCCAGCTCTCTGCATGCTGGTCTCCAACTGTGGTTGCCCTCCCTGATGCCTTCTTGTGATTAAATTTAGATTGTGATCATATGTGACCTGGGGACCATCAGGAGGCACGTGGGGACCACAAGACTGGTGATATTAACATCTTGACTTGATTAAAGGAATCTACACCAGATTTTTCTGTCCTTTATAATCTGCACATATCTTGCAGGAGTGCTTTTTTTTTTTTTTTTTTTTTTGGTTTTTCGAGACAGGGTTTCTCTGTGTAGCTTTGCGCCTTTTCCTGGAACTCACTTGGTAGCCCAGGCTGGCCTCGAACTCACAGAGATCCGCCTGGCTCTGCCTCCCGAGTGCTGGGATTAAAGGCGTGCGCCACCACCGCCCGGCCAGGAGTGCTTTATGTCAGGATCATTTTTTAAATATGTCTGCCACATGTGTATGGATGCCTACAGAAGGGGGAGCTGGAGTTAGAGTCTGTTCTAAGTCATCCAACCTGGGTTCTGGGAACCAAACTTGGGTCCTCTGGAAGAGCAGGAAATGCTTTTAACTATTAAGCCATCTCTCCAGGCACTTTATTAAAGATATTTAAGATAGCTAGCACCCTTTCAATAATTAGGAGACACACAAGATAGAGACGAAGACACAGATGACTCTCTCTCTCTCTCTCTCTCTCTCTCTCTCTCTCTATATATATATATATATACACATATATGCATACATACACATACACACACACATACACACACACACACACACACACACACACACACATGAGGTCAGAGAGTGCAGGCAGGGAGAGAGGAAAAGAAAAGATACATGTATAATGGCCTTTACTGGTTCAGGGCATTATCTGAACAGGTTTTGTGTGAGGAGTTTCACACAAACATGAGTTCTAGGTGGTCACACTGTGACTTTGAGGTGGTTACTATGGAATATCTGGAGTTCATGTGACACCAAAGGCTAGTGAGACCACTCAAGTAGTCCATATCTAGCTGTCCCACGGGTAGATAGGCACTGTATAAAGCAGGTATTTGGACTGACCGCATTGAGGAACTTGGAGGAGGAGCAGATTTGGAAAGTATGTCAAGGGTGACTGAGCTGGGGTTTTGCCATGAGAAAGCCCAGCTTGTCTCCAGGATGCATGCTAAGGTGATGGAAACAACAGTCACTCACAGAAGGGGTTGCTGGACGGTTGCCACTGATTTTCTGTTCCTACTGACGGTTCTTCCCCAAAATATTAGTATGGTAATTGTTTAATTATAATTTCTTATTCCTTTCACTCATGTTTTTCATTTGTTCATGAGGATTCTGCTGCACGATTAGGAATAAGACGTGCGGTGTTTAAAAACAACAGTAATGTCACAGGCAACTCGGCAAGTTAAAAGGAAAGGGTTTCTGTGTGTTCACCATAAAGAAATGATAAGCACTTCAGTAGATGGAGATATCAAACCTGACAGAAACACTGCAAAACCATGCGTGTATTAAAACATGATATGGTGGTCTGAATGAGAACCGCCCCCATAGGCTCATATATTTGGATGTTTGGTTCCCAGGTGGTGGAACTGTTTAGGAAGGATTAGGAGGTGTGGCCTTGTTGAAGGAGGTGTATCACTGGGGGTGGGATTTGAGGTTTCAAAAATCCAAACCAATTCTATTCTCTGTCTCCGTCTCTCTGTCTCTGTCTCTCTGCCTCTCTCTCTCTCTCTCTCTCTCTCTCTCTCTCTCTCTCTCTCTCTCTCTCTTCTTTGCTTCCAACTTGTGGATCAGATGTAAGCTCTCAGCTACTACTCCAGTACCATGCCTGCCTCTCTGGGGCCATGATCTCTACCATGGTGGTCATAGACTAACCCTCTGAAACTGTAAGAAAGCTCTCAAATGAAATGCTTTCTTTTATAAATTCCCTTGCTCATGGTGTCAGTAGTCAAAA